CTCCCATACAGTGGATGCTAAAGAAATAGGCTTCGATCCTATAATAATACTGTGACGTGGGGAGGTATTGCAGAACCATTTGATAGGTGAAGAAACAGATAGTTAGAGAGACCCCAGGCCACGCTAAAAGTTGGCCACAGCCAATAAGTGGCAACTACAGTCTTAAGGCTTCTCATCTATCCATTAATTCCACAGATATTCATGGAGTGCCAGTCACACTCTATACAGTGAATGTGACAGGTGCAATTTCTGCCCTACCAAACTTACAGTCCAAGGCTCTTTCCCAAGTTTTACCATGTTTCTATTGTACAGGCATCAGTTAGACAATTGTTATTTGTTTTATGCCTTGCAAATGAGATTAAATTAGTCTAATAAAGAGCCACAAAACCACATGCATCTTCCAGTGTCTCGAAAATATAGCATCGGTACCAGTCTTCTGGGCTCAATCCCCATCCCTGTATTATAATTAATTCTATGGGGAATTGGGAATGCCATATTATAATTCTTTGGATAATTATCTTTCCCCATGCCTCAACCCAAGACTCTCAACTCCCTGAGGGCAGAAACTATCCTCTGAGTAGCACAGAGGATGTGCATAATAAATACTGGTGGCCGGGCGCGGTGGCTCAAGCCTATAATCCTAGCACTTTGGGAGGCTGAGACGGGCGGATCACGAGGTCAGGAGATTGAGACCATCCTGGCTAACATGGTGAAACCCCGTCTCTACTAAAAAAAAACACAAGAAAACTAGCCAGGCGTGGTGGAGGGCGCCTGTAGTCCCAGCTACTCGGGAGGCTGAAGCAGGAGAATGGCGTAAACCCGGGAGGCGGAGCTTGCAGTAAGCTGAGATTCAGCCACTGCACTCCAGCCTGGGCGACAGAGAGAGACTCCGTCTCAAAAAAATAAATAAATAAAAATAAATAAATACTGGTTAATTTTAAATGAATAAAAAGGATATCATATCTGTGCAGATGTCTTGATTTTTCTTAATACTCAAATTAGTGTTAGCTTTTAATGTCACTGAGAGGTTTTTATTCCTTGAGTTTTGAGGGGGTTTTGGTTCATTGTTTAGAGTACACCACCATCCACCACCCCATCCCATGGGGGTTTTTCAGCTTTAGAAGTGGAAACAGCTCAATGCGACCTGAAGTGGGCAGCCAGAAACTAAAATGGTTTCCACAACCACCACCAATAACACTTTCATGACTTCCTAAGCCCTAAGCTCTAGGAAAGCAGGGACAAAAAAGCAAAGGAGTAAAGAAAAGAGAAAGTAAAAGGGAAGAAAAGGTTGGAAAACAGCACCAGTCAGACATGACAAAGCAGAATTAAAATTACCGAAAAGTTAAATTGTAGAGTGCCATTTGACCCCCTCTTCATTCCTACCAGATCAAGAAGAGAGTCTGGCTGACTGAACATATATATTCTTGATCCCTCTCTGTCTCTAATCTCTGTCTCTATCTCTATGTATGTCTGTATGTATGTATACGTGTGTGTGTGCACGCGCACGTGTGTGTGTGTATAAAGTACATCAAGATTGATCAAGAATAATTCATCAAAAATCCATGTGGAATCCTTTGGAGTCTTTTATTAAAAGTAAGTCTTTTTCTAAAGAACTGTGATAAATTTGTAAATGTAAAATTAGTCATGCTCAAATAAATCTATCAACCAGAAACATAGTTCTAGCTTTTAAATCAAGTCACCACTTTTGATTAATTAAATCTTACCCGAAGTAGATTTTCCTTTATTATTAATGTATTTCATTCATATCAATTCAGAGTAGAGCAATTTTGAAATCAAAATAAATTTTTACCAAAGCCAGGGTTTACAAAATCAACAGTGCTACATGTTAATGGGTTCTGCCTTCATGAACTATGGGGGAAGGAAAGGTAGCTGGATTTTGAAACTTCATAAAATTCTAAACATCAAATATTGGGAATTAGCAGTAAACAGACGAAGGTTTAGAGACCCTCAACATAAATTTTCCAAAGTTAGGCTTCTCTCCTGGTTAACATAAGCCAAAGGATTCTCTGAAAAATACAGTAAATTTGAACTTTTGTGTGGCCTTTTTATTTGTATTACTGTGTTTTAGCAAGCACGCTGGAATGGCAAATGCTTCCTCATTGGTGGAACCATGTAGACTCAGAAAAAAGCCATCTTCCATTGAGAAGACAATTGTTTTCTATAGAGACAAAAAACAAATGCCCATGACCCAGGTCACCTCATCCCAGCAGGCTTTTGCTGCGGCTTCCTCTGAGCAAACACAACAAAGTCCGGAGCAGTCAATCCTGCTGCCCCACACTGGGCCGCCGCAGTTGTGCTCTGCTATTTACCCTTCCTATTAATCTGTCAATGTTCTAGTCAAACATGCAAAACAATATGGTGGGCACATAGTTTGATTGGTCATTGCTAAGTAACTTGGACCAAAGATGAAGAAATGGAACTTCCAACCAACAAAATGTGAGGCCCAATTTGATTGTTAGAAAATGTTCAACAATACCAGTGCATGACAATTTTCTCAGGGTGGCTGTGATTTAGCATCTCTCTCACCAAAAAAGAGTGGTCCCAATAAATGACATTCAGTTCCAGAATCTAAATTCAGGTCATGTTGCTGTTCCTATCGTTGTGGCATAGAACTGTCTGGGCATTTTGCAAAGGAAGATGTTCATTAGAAGATGTCATCATTCCATAGTGAAGAGACCATTGAGGAATTTGGTTTGGTACACAGGTTGAGTCCCTGGCTGACAAAATATTTTTTGAGCTTAAAAATAAGAGTCCTTGATTCAACACTTCCTGGATGCTGAAAAGTGCAACTCCGTATTTCCAAAAGAGAATTTGAATTATCAAACATTTTGAGCAAATTAAATAGCTCATATTCTTATTTCACTTTCCTCCTTTTCTGCTAGGCCAGATGAAGCCTCAGAATCCTTCTCAACACAAAGCTGTAGATAGCCACTTTTATTCTCCTGGAATTAACATGAAAGATGGGGCCTGTTTGTCATTCCAGCCCTAGATCCTCAAGTGAACATGTTCAAATACAAGATGTACAGATGAGCAACAACTGTCCAAGGGACACCTTTTTAGAAATACAGAGTGTGCATTTCCTTGCTGTGTGCTTTCAGAAAGCAGGAAGAATGGAAAGAGTAAGTGGCCAGGATGTCAGAGCATAAAGCAAAGTTAAAGAAAATATAGACAATGAAAGTAGGCTGATGTGGGATAAAAATCCCCCCCATTCACTAGCTATTTACAAGGTATTTGTCCTGTGGAAAATAACAGCTCTGAGATATGTTTGTTCATATATAAAATGGAGAAAATGAGACCACATACTACATAAGTCAGGACATCTGACTCCTATCCCTGATCCATTTCCTCTAATTCGCCACAAACCACAAGCAGTTTCAGGCTATATCCGTGCCATTTTTGGACCCGAGAGGAAAAGAAACTCTCTCTTCCCATAATGTGTCCAAAAACTGAGAGGAAGAACTCTGGCTTGATATGGACTACATATTAACTATTGGATTCCCACTAAAAGATTCTGACTGGTCCAGACTGGTTCCTATATCCATCTTGATAGCCAAGAGGCCAAAGGATTGTGCTTGGGCTGTTCCCAAAACCATTTGCGGGGAATGGAGAGAAGCAGTTTCCTAAAAGAAGCATTGGGTAAGGGGGATAGTTTTCTTGGGTGGATAAGAGAGTAAATGTGTACTTTATGACCTCATGGAGTGAGAAGATTAAATAATGAAAAGAACTCACTAATGGCACATAGCAAGTAGTCCATAAATGCTAGCAAAGATGATGCTAATTGTCTTCATCACTATTATTATCAATCCCTACTGCAAAAGAATAAAATCAATAGTAAGGTATTTACAGAAAGATACTTAATATATCACATTGAATATTACTTACTGATGTCAGTTGTAAATCTGGCTACTCAAATAGCACTCTCAGTGAAATAACAAAGTACAATGGTCATAGATTTCATACTTCAATTTGAATTCAACTCATAATTCAAATTATAGAGATTTCACTGTGATCCAGCTTACTGAAAAAAAATGTGATGTTAAGGGATGAAATTTAAAAACCGATTCATTCATGCATCATAGCTCCTATGTACCAGACAGACCTAGACCCTGATTAACACAGGGGAACAAAGTTGACCAAGTTTCTACCCTAAGGGAGCTTACTTTTCAGAAGGAGAGCCACAGAGGAGTGAATAATATAATCCAATATAATGGCTGAAGAGGGAGGCAGAAGAGGAGGTTGGAATGATGTGATGTGAGGAAGACTAAACCCTCTGTTACTTGTTTTGAAGATGGAGTAAAAGTAATAGGAGTCAAGGAATTCAGACAGCCTTCACAAGCTGGAAAGGGAAGGAAACAGAATCTCCTCTAAAGTCTGTAGAAAAGAATGAAACCTTGCCAACACCTAGATTTCAACCCGGTGAGACCTGTATCATACTTCTGAACCTACAGAACTAAGTGGGAGATAATAACTTTGTACTGTTTTAAGCCACTAAGTTTGTGGTAATTTGTTACAGCAGCAACAGAGAACTAATACAGAATCATTCTTACCATTACGAGAGCATTTGTAGTTTTTTATATGTCAGTGAAAAGTTTGTCTTCAGTTAAAAGCCCGGGCTTGTGCAACTTCTTAGGAACAATACCAGTACCTTTAAAGTGAGCACATGTGCCTCAATCCTAATGGTGTGGGGTTACCTTAGTAAGATAATAAATAAATAATAGCAAAGACAACACATTTCTAAGTTTTCCTAGCATAAATGTAATGTGTCCCTAATAGTGGGGAAAAAAAATAATTTATGAAGGCATTTAAAATTATACTGTAATTTACAATGATGTGAGTATGGATAAATATGGAAACTAAGAGGATTATCTAAAATATAATATCAATGACACTGAATCAAGAATCAAAATTAGTGGCTGAAATGGAGCAAACCTATTAACCTAAAAAAAAAATAAGAAAATGTAGTATCTCTTATTCATTACCTGCATCCTGTTTGCAAAAGGTCTGATAGTTAGCAAGAATTCTTCTTCCCTTTGCTTCATACATATCACTGTAGACACTAATTTGACAAGTTCAACTCCCTATAAACAAAGAATGGAGAAAGAAGAGCAGGTTTACAATGATGCAATGACAATAATAGAGAAAAAAAATGACATCTTTAAGAGACAGAAACATCCTATCCATGAACATAGTATTTCTTGCCAATGACTTTCAATAATTTTTTTTTTTTTTTTTTTTTTTTTTGGTGGAGACAGGGTCTCAATGTGTTCCCCAGGCTGGTCTGGAACTCCTGGACGCAAGCAATACTCCCACCTTGGCCTCAATAAAATTCTATACTTTTCTACATAAAGTTCTTGATCATCTATTGCGAGATATAATCCTAGGTGGTGCTTGCTTTGGTTGGTTGGTTGGCTGGGGGAAGTGTGGGTTGTGCTGTAATGACGTCTTTTAAATCATCTTTCTAATCAGTTTCAAAGTATAGACATGCAATTTAATTTTATACATTGTTTTAAAACAGCAAGCTAGCTAAGCTTTCATATTAATTCCAAAAAATATGTCTGTTGATTATTTGGGGATTTTGATGTGAACAACTGTATCACCTAGTAATAGTAATCGTTTTGTTCCTTTTTATTCAAATTTTTGAACTTTAAGTTTTTGTCTTATTGCATTAGTTTACATCTCTAAAACACATAGCTTAGGTCCTCAGGAAGCAAATAAAACTTAGGCCCTCATTTGCACAGACCCCTGTGAGTTCCAAGAGTTATTAGGATTTGCAGGGTATTCTAGGTATAGAAAGGGAAGCCTAGTGAAATTGGGAAGCATTTCCAATAAATTGTTATAAAAGATCTCAGAATAGAAAGACCAAAATCTCTAAGTCTCCAATATTTTTTGTGTATTTTTTCCTCATATTCATTTTAATACATAATTTCTTATTTGTAGTTCTGAAGCTGGAGTTTTGAGATAGTTCAACCAACGAGAAGTTAAGACAAGGAATATTGATTACAGAGGTGTTAAAGGGTTGAAAAAGAAAAGAAAAGATTAGGTGTGAAGTTGCAAAAAATAAGAGGAGGTGATATCAACAGGTCAATAAATCCTAACACTCAGGAATCAGAGCCCCAAAATAGTATAAGTTTCAGTCTTCACAGAAGTTGGATATGCTTGGTAGTTCCCGATGTTAACAGAAATTCATACATTTCCTCATCCAGTATGATATTTGTCATGTTTTAATATTTTTGCAGATGCCTTTATCAAGTCAAACAATTTTTCTTCTATTCCTAGTTTGTAAAAGTTTTCGGTTTTAAATTAGAGACAGAGAGCAAATTCTATTAACTATCTCCCCTGCAACTGTTAAGAAGATTGTATATTTCCTTTCAATGATGCTGAAGTGATGCTACATTAATAAAATTTCCAATATTAAATGAGCCAGGCATTCATGAGATAAAAAACAACGTGGTCATAATGTATTTTCTTTTTAGCATAGTGCTGGATAGTGCTAAATTTTGTTTGTTAATATTTTATTTTGCTTTTTTTCTTCTTCTTCAATGCTCACAAGTGAAATTGCCTTTTTCCACTTTATAATGTTCTTACCTTATTTTAGTGTCAAAGTTATGCTAGCTGCAAAATACTTGGAGAATATTCTCTTTTCATAATCACTGAGTTTGTATAGGATTTAAATTACTTGCCCCTTAAATATCTGAATAACTGTATTGGTAAAAATCACCTATTCTGATGCTATCTTTGCGGGAAAAATTTAAACTATTAATTCAATTTATTTAATGATTATACAGTTATTTACATTTTCTATTTCTTCTTAGTCAGTTTTAGCAAACTGCATTTATCAAATAAATTATTTTATTTTCTAGATTTCCAGATTCATTGACTTTAAAATGTATATAATACACACATATTTTAATCTATTCAGCATAAAAAATTCTATTCCATTATGTTCCTGTTTTAATTCTCAATATTATTTATAATGCATTTCTCATTTTTCTCTTGACATATATTGCCACAGGCTTTTCAATTTTATTAATTTTTTCAAAGCACAAACTTTTACCTTTGTGGATTCTTTTTGTATGTTGATTTTCTAATTCATTAGTTTTTCTTCATGGGGGGGTGTTTGTTTTAAATTATTCATTCTCTTTCCTATACGTTTTGAGGGTTTATTCTGCTATTCTTGTGTTTTTAATTCACTATTTAGTCTTCTTTACTAATGTATTTAAATAATTGTATTTTTTTTCTAATACTACTTTGCCTGCCTCCAATGTTTTGAAATATAATGCTTTTATTATCTCTCATTTCTAATGCTTTTGAATTTGCATTTTGATTTCTTAACCCATATGTTGTTTAAATGTATGGTATTTCCCAATTATCTTTTTGCTATTAATTTTTAAATTGGTTACATTTTGATCCAAAAATGAGATTTGTTGATATCAATTCTCTGAAATTTATTGAGAACAATTTTACAGTCTCCGTGTAGCCGATTTTAATAAATATTTCATATGTGCTTAGATTCAATATTTTCAAATTAACGGATGTAATCTATAACTATTCATTAGCTCAAGCCTATTAATTATGTTCATATCATCTATATCCTTGATTTTTTATCTGCTTCATCTGTTAATTATTGACAAAGATATATTAAAATCTCCCACTAACGTATGGGTCTTTCTAGTCTTTCTATTTTTTTCTGTAGTTCAGTCAATTTTTGTAATTTTGAGAGTTTATAATTAGCTGCATAAAAGTTTAGAGTTACATCTTCTTAATAAATCATTTTATTATATAGCTCTCTTCTTTATCTCTACCAATTTTTTCCCTTAGAAAGTGTTTAGTTTGATGTTAATATAGCCACAGCAGTTTTCTTGTTAGTTTTGCTAATACAATAAAACCTATGCCATAGTGGGATAAGTAATATCCAAAAATAAAACATGGGTTTATGTATGTGGCTAAAGGAATATTTTCAGTTACTCTGTTCTGTCATGAAAAAAAAATCCCAAAAGTAAATAAGAAAAACTTGTCCTCCATGAAACTGAAGAAATGTACACCATACTGTAAAAGTCTTAAGTGATCAAGAGTCTGTCACATCCTAATCCTACTCATATCTCAACAGAAGAAAATAAATCGAGCCTGTCCCTATTTAAAAATAAAGGGAAGGACAGAAGTCAAATGCTGAAGACATTCTTTCTAAATTTTTTTTAATTAGTATTTTTGTGGGCTACATTTTCCTGGGGGTTTACTACATATTTTTTTTTCCATACTTGAACTTTTAACATTTGTGTTCCTTATGGTTTGGGGTGTGTTTTTTTGTTTTTGTTTTTGCTTTCTTGAGACGGAGTCTCTCTCTGCTGCCCAGACTGGAGTGCAGTGACGCTATCTCTGCTCACTGCAAGCTCCGGTTCCAGGTTCATGCTATTCTCCTGCCTGAGCCTCCTGAGTAGCTGGGACTATAGGCACCCGCCACCACGCCCAGCTAATTTGGGGTGTGTTTTTAAAATCAACATAAAGCGAGTCGCTTAAAAAAAAACAAAAAACACCGTCTGACACTCTTAACTAAGAAATTTAGCCCTTTTCTACTTATTGTGATAATGAATATATTTGAACTTAATTTCTACCATCTTATTTGTGCTTTCTACTTATCTACTTGTCCTGGTTCTTCTGTTTTTTGTTTGGGTTTTTTTCTCCCCCTACACTTTTAGAACTGACTAAATTATTTTTTCTTTTTCTTTTTCTACTTTCTCCCCCTCTATGTCTTGGAAGTTATTCATACAATTTTACCTTTATAATAAAACATGTATACTAACTTACAATCTAAATATTTAATAAATTTAACACTCTTGTAAATAAAACAAGGTTCTTCAACACTGACCACCCACTGCCAAATTCAAAGCCGTTGTTGTCCAATGTGTTAGTTCTCTAAATTGCTGTTCTTTTCCCCCACAAGTTAGACATTGTCACTATTATTGTTCTAATTTTTTGCAGTCAACTGTTATTTTGATTTATGCACACACTTATCAATATATTTCATAATCGGCCTTTTTTTGCATAGCAGATCTGTCTGGGATTACATTTTTCCTTCATAGAGAAAATTCTTTAGAATCACCTTTAGTGAGGGTCTACTGGTAGTAAACTCTCAGGTCTGTTTGGAAATGTCTTTATTTTATCCTTACACTTGAATACAGTTTTGCTGGGTGTGCAGTTTTAGGTTGACAATTATTTTCTCTCAGTCCACTTAAGGTATTATTCCACCATCTTACAGTTTTCATTATTTCTGTTGTAAAGATAGTGGTCAGTCTGTTGCCAATGTCTATTCTCTACAGTGTTTTGGGTTTTGTTTTGCATTTTGCTTTATTTTGTTTTGTTTCTAGTCTTCTTGCTTGTCCCTTCTGTGGCTTAAGATCTTTTGTGTGCATACGAATTTCCACCATCTTATAGTTTTCATTATTTCTGTTGTAAAGATGGTGGTAAGACTGTTGCCAATGTCTATTCTCTAGTGTTTTGGGTTTTGTTTTGCATTTGCTTTATTTTGTTTTTTTGTGTGATTTGCTGGACTTCCTGTATGTTAGGATATATATCTTTGAATAATTCTGAGACAGGTTTCAGTCATTATCACCTTAAATATTATCTTTTATGTTTCTATTATCTTTATGGAATTCTGATCAAATTTGCTAGACCTTTTTCTCTATTTTCCATGTCTTTTAATCTATTCTTTTTGTTTATGTTTTCTTTTTTTCTCCCATCTTTCTAGCCACTGGATAATCTCTTTAGATTTACATTCCAGTTCATTAAACTCTTCTTCAGGTTTTTCCTATCTACTATTTAACTTGCCTATTGAATTTTTAATTTAAAGTATATTTCTATAAGTTTATTTTTACAATATGACTGATTTTACTTTATTGCATCTGTTTCTTGCTCATATTTTTGAACTTATTTTTCCTCTCAATACAGTAAATATACTTAATTTCTGATGATATCAAAAATCTATGCAGGTCTAAAATTGGGGTCCGTTATTTCTGTTGTCTCTCAATTAGACTACTTCTTTGCTTGTGGGTATTGTGATTTTGGACAGTGAGTTTCTCGTTTTAG